GCTGTCAGTGCAGAGGTCTGCTGAACCTGTCCAGCCTTCTGGATGACTCAGTCTCCAGGCCGGGATGAGATGCAAGAAAGAGGAGGGTGGAGCTTCCCGGGGAGTGAGGGAGTAGGCAGAAAGGATCTGGGATCTAGCACTGGCCATCCGATTCTATTGCCCTTGGGTCAGCGACTGCCCTGTTTCATTCCAGAATGGCATGGTGGACAGAGAGCTTGCACTGGGAGGAGACAGGCCAGGTTGGCTTCAACCCTCTCTCTCCCCCATGTTCTCTCCACAGAAGCTGCACTGTGACTTTGAGATCCTTTTTGTCCCCTGGAAGAATTCTTCCCAGCTTCTGAAGCACAACTGTGTGCAGATGAAATAGGCCCCCGTGGAGGCACTGGGTACAATGGCGGAGGGTGCTTCAGGTCCCTGGGCCATGTCTGTTGCAATAAATCACCAGCACTGCTTCTTGGATCGGTTTCTTCTGAGTGTTTTACTCCTCCCCCTTCTACTCCTAGCAGCCCCCCAAACCCTGGAGTCCCCCAAATACTCCAGCATCACAGATAGGAACAAAAACCTCGAGAGCCCCGAACACAGTCAGGGTATTCTCAGAGGTCAGGGGCAGAGACAAAGTCATTTTGGAGGGATGATGCCCCAAAACTGGAACAGGGAGAGATGTCTGTGAGTGCTTTGAAGAGGACCTGGTGTTCTGGTCCCTTTCAGCACCCAGAGGGAGCTCAGGGGTGGCATATGGTAGGTTTGAGAAGGTAGGCCCCAGGACACAGAACCCCCATCCTCTAAAGATTCCTATTCCAGTATATGGCCCAAGGATGGCAGAGTCCCTGCAGGCCACGAGGTCACGGGGACTAAGACAGTGCTTCTCAAGACTGTAGTGTAGCCCACACCCTAGAAACTCTCCAAAACCCGGGAAGGAGCTGGACCTGGAGCCCGGAAGGGCCAGACTCCAAGCTCCTGCCCATAGGAGGAGTAAGGGAATGGATTAAATTTAATGTATTTTAAACAGACTTGGAACCTTTTTTGCACATCTAAATGCATGACTGCAATTTATTCACACATGCACACACATACTCCAAATCCCTCAACTCCATACACACCCAGAAACACACACACATGACTTAGCAACCCAGAAGCACAGGCAAAACCCCACAGAAACAACCTCAAACAAACACAGATTCCTCAGACACACAACCCAGACAGCCACTTGCCGCACTCCGAGAAGTTCCTCAGATTCACAAACACCCACACCCAAGACTTGGGCTAGGTGCCTTGGGTGCCTGGGAGGCACTAGGTGTCGGCATCAGCGGGCCCAGGTAGGCAGCACGGTGGGTGCTGTGGAGAGCTCCCGACAGCCATGCTCCACTGTGCACGTGCCCTTCCTTCCAGGCAAGGCTTCGCGCCCC